CGTTGAATAAGCTATCTCCTGTGGTGAGGTCATCATGGGACGACATGGACAAGAGTCTCACAGGATGGGCGGGAGCTGGATGGGCTTCATGCCTGATGCTTAGCAGCGATCATAGGAAGTTTGACTGCACTTCAATCCATTAATACAAGGAATGCCCACCTCGTTTGTTGTGGTTGTTTAGTCATTTCAGTCATGACTGACTCTTTGTGACTCCATTGTGGGGTTTTCTTGGCAAAGATACTAGAAAGGTTGGCTGTTTCCTTCTCCAGCTCGTTTAACAGATGAGGAAACTTAGGCAAACAAGGCTAAGTGACTTGCCCAGGCTCACATAGCTAGTAAGTGTCTGAGGCCAAATTTTAACTCGTCTTCCTGACTTGAGGCCTGCTACTCTATCCACTGTGCCACCAAGCTGCTCCAAATGGAAACTCTTCCTAACCAGTATCCTTAATTTCAGTCCTCCCCTACCTCAGTCCATTCTACAAACCTTCCAGAATAAAATTCCAAGAATGATCAATAGCTTTTCCTCTTTTCTATCACGTGTTTCTAGAGTTTTCATGAGGCTTCAGATTAACTCACATCACCTGGGAAGTCCATATGGACCTGCTTAGAAATGAAGTGATTTGTGCTACCCCAAAAAGACTCATCATTCGGAGTTCTAAACCATGTGGCAGGGCACAGTGCCTGAACTCTTAGACAGATAATGGGACAATGGACTTCCGTTTCCTTAACTCGGCTAGGAGCGAGAACTAAAAAGTCAGTTTGAGATAGTTGTCTCAGGGGCTCTTTCCTGTGCTGGCTAGACAAGGCTGTTGGTCTTGACTAACCAAAAAGCATAAAATACGTTAACTGGCCCAGAGACACGTTGGCGTGCTCTGTTGATCTCATCTTAAAATAGTCTAGGGAATGGAAGGTAATAATAACAGCATCAGAGATGGAGGTAGAAGACACAGAGCAGCTCAGTGAGTTCCTAAGAATGCCTGATTTCAAGCCAGGAACTGAGAGAACTGGGACAACCACAGTTTTAAAGAGAAAGATTGGTGTTGTAGGGAACTCTGGACCTAAGTATGAGAGGAAGGGACAGAACCAAGTACCAAGAAAGCATAGAAACACAATGTAGAGGAACAAACCCAAACCACGCCTTTCACTCAAAACGAGTCATATAGAATTCAGGGTTTCTTAAAGTGTGGGTCACAAAAAATTTGGCAATAGTAAAAGGTTTCTGAACGTGCAATGACAAAAAATTAATAAAAAAATAAAATGCGTAATGAATCTGAAGTGCTTCTGGCAACATTTGACCATGTTGCATCACACAACTTCGCTGCAGCCTTGGCTCTGAACACACTGCAGCACACTTTGCACTCTGCATGTCCTCAGGCCATGAAACACGAGGAATACTGCCGAAAATGAAAAGGGGCTAAGACTGGAAAAAGTTTAAGAATCCCTGATCATTAATGGAAATGAGGTTTGCTTTCTAGAGACTGTGAGTTCTCTTTCTCCTTGGGGTAGCTAGCCTCAACTCTAAAGTGGCACTATCCGATTCTGTAAGTGTATGGGGAAGATAGACCTCACCGGAGGGAGTAGTTGATTGACTCCTAAGGAAATTTGAATTTTTAAAAAAATAATTTTTATTCATTTTTCCTGTATTGCAGAAAACCAAGAATGGCAACCATAAGTCAGAATGTTTGTCCCTCAGACTAGGTGGGGATTCATAGAAGGTAAAGTTTCCTTGTCTATTTGCGGCCTCAGAGAGACCTAGGTTCAGATCTTTGCTCTCCCATGTATTACTACCTGTGTGACTTAGGCAAAAGTAAAATCACTTCACTTCCTGGACTTGTTTCTTCATCTATAAAATAAAGGTATTGGACCAGATGATCCAAGAGGCCACTTACATTTCTAGGTCTATGCTGCTGCACTACAAGTGCTTTCTGCATTATTTGCTGTGTGTAATAAACTTGTTCCACAATCCATCTATAATTAACTTGATGCTTCTAAGAGTACTGAAGACTTGTAGAAGAAAACAAAAAATAAGCCATATTTATATGGTACTACAGGCTGAGCCCTGAGTAAGGGCAAGTATGATCCTTTTAGATGACAAGTTATTGAGAAATTTACAAGGTTGAACCAGTCCATATGAACTCAAAGCTCTTATTGACAAGACACAAGTTATATTTCTAACACAAAATTCTAATCTTGCCATTTTCCCCCTCAGAAACTTCCACTGATTCTTCTTTACTGTCTTCTGAATAAAGTCCAAATTAGCATGAATAAATAAACAAATAAATAAATAAATACTGAATAAAGAAAGTCTAGCATTTAGAACATTGCATAATCAGGTCCCCAACCTACCTTGAAGTATCTTCTCACATTGCTTTCCCTCATCTACTTCATCTTCCCGCAAAACTAATCTACCTACCAATAGCCTTCAAAAAAAAAAAATCCCGGGGCAGCTAGGTGGCACAGTGGATAGAGCACTGGCCCTGGATTCAGGAGGACCTGAGTTCAGATCCAGCCTCAGACACATAACACTTACTAGCTGTGTGACCCTGGGCAAGTCACTTAACCCCATTGCCTACCCCCCCCCAAAAAAAAGAAAACAAAAAAAAATCCCACCTGTTTTCTTCAACACTCTATTCAAATTTTACCCTTTTTATGAAAACTTTCCCAATATTCCTGGCAAAATAATCCTTCCTTCTTTTTAATTGTCTTCATTCTTTGTTTGCAAGATTTTTGTTTACTTATATTCTATCATATAGTTGTATATTTTATTATTTTTTTACAACCATTCTCTCCCCAGATATATCATGATCTCTTTAAGAAAACTATGCCTTGTTTACTTCTGTACTTTCCCTAGAATCTTTCATGGCATTTTCATATAGTAAACACTAAAACAAATTTATTGAATGAATATTAATGTTAAATTTCACCTCCTTGGTTTTGAATGAATGAATGCATGAAAGCACATATTAAATACTTTCTATATGCAGAATACTGTGCTAAGTATCAGGGATACAAATAGAAAAGCAAATACCATCCCTATCCTCAAGGAATTATTTACTAATGGGGCACTTTGATCCAGAAAATTTCAGCGATAGTGATTGGAGTCATCAGGAAGTAGATCAATACACTCCAGTCCAGAGCAATAACAGAGTTAATTTGATAATAGTTCATGGTTCCAGGACTGGAGGTGAATGGTTAGGAATGCTACCCACACTACATCAAAATGAAGAGGTTATGGATGAAGTAAACAGAGAGCAAGAAGTGAAGCAAAGCATGGCCAGGGCTAAAATGGTGTCCAGAAGCAATCATCAATCAGGAAAGCCCCAAAGCAGAAGTTTTTCTAAGACATGGTCTCCGGTGTGAGCTTTAATTTAGTGTTTCAGCCTAATCTTTTTAATCTTAATTCTGTCATTTAACTCACATTTGTGCCATCCATGATTTTGATTAGCTTCCCTTCATCTAAGATTAGGTCACTTTTCTAAGTCTTCAGTGATCTAAGTAACTGATAAAAAATATTTAATAGGTCATGAATAAGGACAGTTTTTTTGGGTTTTTTGTGGGTTTTTTTAGGCAATTGGAGTTAAGTGACTTGTCCAGGGTCACACAGCTAGTAAGTGTCAAGTGTTTGGTTTGAGGCCGGATTTGAACTCAGGTCCTCCTGACTTCAGGGCCAGTGCTTTATCCACTGTGCCACCTAGCTTCCCCCAGGACAGTTTTATAGACTGCCATTAATCATCTCCTTCCAAGTTAAATACCAAAGACAGCTAAGTATTGTAGTTGATAGAGTGCTGAATTTGAAGTCAGTAAGATCTGAATGCAAATCTTCCCTGAGACATTTTTTAGCTTTCTGGCCCTGGGCAAGTCATTTAACCCTTGCCTCAGTTTCCTTATCTGTACAATAGAGATACTAATAACACCTACCTCACAGACTGATGTGAGGATCAACAGAGATAACACAGGCAAAGTATTTTGTGAATATTAAAGGACCATATAAATATTCACTATTATTGTTAACTTTGACTCATTAATCATTACTACTGGTGTATGGTTCTTCAACTGACATTTACATCTAAATACATTATCATTCAGTCCAATTTATTTTTCCATTTCATCTATAAAGAGATTTTGAGAATGTTAGTCAAAGTTCAGCTAAAATCAAAATACATTATATTTATAGTATGCCCATGATCTATAAATCTATTGACACTGCCAAGAAAGGAAGCTAGATTAGTTTGGCATGTTTCATTCATGTTTCATAATCTGTTCTATTATTTTTCCGTAGTTCAAAATTCTCTAATTTATAGAATCCATCCATCTTTTTTTTTAGAAATTGTGACATTTGTTTAATTCCAGTTTTCTGACCACACTATGTGATTTCTCAGAAATTCTGACACTGGTTTTATAATTATATCTGTAAGTTCTCTGAGTATTCTGGATGGTCAAACTGAGCCCAAAAACTTGGAATCTTTTACAGCACAAAGTGGTCTTTTCCTATTTTCTCATCTATCTTGGCCTTCAATTTAATCTTAATATTTTTTCATTCTCTGCCTCACAGACTAATAATTATTATCTTTGATAGAGGAGAAAGAAGCAAAGTAAGAATTGAATTGTTTCTTCTATAATATTTTTCTTCCTCTCTGTCATCTTTTAACATCATACTATCTGCTCCTTAAAAGTGGTTTTATTCATTTTTCACTGTTAACCTCCTTCCAAAAATAACTAAACAAGTTTTGGATTGGGGTGATGGATTTACTTTTTTTTTTTAAGAGCAGATTTTGCAGAAAGGTACATTTAAGCTCAATGTAAAGGGGAAATGCGTGCACAGGCACACACATACACACACACCACACACACACACACACACACACACACACACACACACACATATATAAACACAAAAATGCCCAAAGGTATTACATTCTCTGTTGGATGATTAAGCATCCATTGAATGTGTCATCTTTGATGAATTGTATTCTGGTCTTGTTACTATTTTTCTCTATTACCTGCTGGTGGTCTTCTCTTCAGATTCACCTGCTGCTAGGATAGAAAGTCATCTCTGATAAGAACAGACTGAGTTCTTCTAGTGTAGTCACTGGGTCTATGGGTCACCACACCTAGTTAGGGTCAGGTCAGAAAAAAAAACAGGTAGAATACACATTGAATCAGTCTATTCTTTTGACTGTCTGTACATATTCAAAGTCCATTATCTTAACCAACTATCTGGTTAGAGTTAGAAAAGTTCTTTTTAACTTTTAATGGGATATTGTCCCTTCCAAGCTAATTTAGGGGCTCTGTCTATGCTCCTGTATGCCGTAGGACTTCAGAAGGGCAAATGTCCAAATTTTCAAAAGAGACTGTGAGCTTGAAGCCTATTTCTGGTAAAATCAGGAGTGGACATTTTGGAAGCATTTGGAAAGGTAAGTGTCAAATGTGTTAAGTTAGCATAGGTCTACTGATATCAAGGAAGGAAAGAGCAGTTTTTACTAGAGGCAAAGGGAGAGGATTCACCTTTGATAGAGTGTTCCATTAAGGACATGAAAGTAGACCAGTTTTATTCTATTTTTTTTCAATGAACTCATTGGATGAAGGTGTAGGTGAAAGAAGTACATGACGTTTGCAAGTGACAAGGAATAAATAGCAGTATCTAATACACCGAATAACAGAGTAAAGAACAAAAAAATCTTGATAGTCTGGAATGATGTGCTAAAGCTAAAAAAAAGGTATTTTAATAAAGATAGATATAAAATCCTGTACACAGCTTCAAAAAATCAATTGCCCATATATAGGATGTCTAAGAAACAATTCCTAGCTTCCCACACAAGGATTCTAGTAGACTGCAAGCTCAATGTTGACTAGCTGTATGAAGTGGTAACCAGAAGACTTTGATATTGGACTACATCAACATAAAGGTACTGGATCCAGAACAAAGGAGGAGCAGTCTTGATGTATTCTCTGTTCACATTAGACCATGTTTGAAATAACATGTCCATTTGAAAAACTGTCACATTTCAGAGATAGGTAAACAAGCTAGCTTGGAGAACAGAAAACTTAGGGAGGTAAATTTCACATAGTTAGTTTTATATAGCTAAAGGATTGTCTTGTGGAAGAATATTTTGATCTACTCTGATGGGGATCAAAGGAAAAAAGCAATATCAATGTATGTAAATTGCTAAAAGGCAGTTTTTGACTCAGTAAAGGGTAGAACTCTAAAAACTAGAGCTATTCAAAAGATAAATGGGTTGTTTTGGGAGGTAGTAAGGAAAAACCTCACTAGTGATTTTCAACCAAAAAGCTAGGTGACTATTTATAGGGGAGGTTGTAGACATAGTTTTAGAAAGGATTAGACAAGAAGAACTTTGAAGTGCCACCAACTCTAAAATTCTGTGAGAACTCATTTTTTCTTAAATATTTATCCATCAAATTATAACCATGTCTGAACAAAAAGACAAAGATAGATATAACATACCTTGAGGAGACTGGAAGCAGAACAATGTCAGGCTTAAGATTTCTACTCTGTGGCATTTTACATTTTAGGGCTCACATCATCACTGTGGATTTCCCCCAAAAGGGTAGAATTCAATATGCGCACAATTAATCAAGCAAAAGCAATACAAAGAGCCAAATATAATTATACCTAAGAATTATATTTGCATGTCTCTCTATTTGTAGTGGCAACTTGAAATGTCACTGTGAAGAGACAGGAACTGATTAACAGTACTGCAACACAGATGTCCTTGTTTCGCATTTTCAAAAAGCTGTTTTCTTCGTTTTCTAAAATAGCATGTTAATTTAAAGTGGCAACATAAATCAAGCACATACAACATTGTGAATAGAAAAATTAAAGCTCGCCAGGCCATTTTCATCTCAAGTGGCCCCATGGGAGTGATGAGAAACTGGAGCTTAGCCCGTCAAACAGGAACCAATGTACCGCTTTACATATTGTATTACTTAAAACCACCACAGAAAATCAAGAAGACTGAAAAAAAAAACCAGATCAGGCTCCTGCCCAATTCTAATATCTATATTTGCTTAACATGAATCATAAATGTGATACAGCACCCTTAGGTTCATTACCAGAAGCAATGATCCTTACTCTTAAGAGTGCCTATCAGAGAGCCAGCTAGAGTGCAAAACTGAGAAAGAACCACATGTAATATGTGTGTCTTCAAATAGCAGCATCTCTTACTCTTGCCCAAGCTTCCTACAGTCCTGTTGAGTGGAAAATAGGAAAATTAATATTAATTAAGAGGAAATTAATATTAAGGTTCTTACCACTAGGGGGCTCACATGTTTACCAGCCGCTTAACCACCCTTTTCATTGAGACTTGCTTTACTGCGCATATGCATCCTGGACAGAGACAGATTGGTTTCCCAGGCCACAGATTTAGAGTTGAAAGGGACCTCAGAAGCCACCTAGCCTAAATCCCTAATTTTACGGACAATAAAAATGAGATACAGAGAAGTTAAATGACTTGCCCAGGGTCACACAAGTAATTAGAGGCAGAGCTAGGATTTTCGTCCAGGTCTTCTGACTCTAAAACCAGCCCTCGACCATGTTGTTTGGGGGGAAGTGGGAGGCTCTAAATTGCCAAGAATATCAAGTCTTCCTTCTCATAATTTGTAATATTTTGGTTTTTTATAAGCTATAGCATCATATTGAAATGTCTGCTTAAGTGTCACATTTAAAAATAGAAAACAGTTATGGTTCTATTATCGCATTTGTAAATTTTAAACCTTTAAATTTGAATTCTGGTGGAAATTCTAAAATACATCATTTATACTACTCTATTTTTTAGAACCTGAAAAACATGAGAACTGTAAAATAAAAACTGGATACAAGGCAACAGAACTCAAATTAATTGAGATGAATTACCTTGTTTCTTGTTGTTGTTGTTGTTCATCTTTTGTTCTCGAAGAGGACCAGTGACATCAGGAGGATGATGTCTTGACTTGCAAGTGAATTAGATTTAGGTGAGGCAGAGCTGTGCAAACTTATCAGCCTCATTCTCTCTTTCAAAGTCATTAGAGTACAGCGGCAAGACATAAGTAAGTATGACTGTCAATGGCCCAGATACAGTGAGAGACCTTGGTGTTTTTAAGCTAAGGTCTTTCCTAGGTCTCAGTTTGTCTGAATCAATGTCTATTCAGTGATTAAAGGCTAGGTTAGAACTAAGACAAGAGATGGCCTAGTTTGTCTTCCCAAAAGAATCCTCTTGTTTCTTAAGAGAGGGAGAAAGATATTCTCTTATTAGAGATGTGTGTGACTACACATGTGGAATGGATGCATGCTGTCAAATTTTATTGCTTTGTCACTCAGTTTGGCTTACTGGGTCTTCCTGGTTAAAATAGGGTGTACAGGGGAAGGGGAGGTATGAATATCAGGCAATGACAATGATACATATTTTTAAAGCACCAATTCTTTTTAAGCTTCCATTTAGCAGAAGAAAAAAAAAAGACAAATAGAAGTCAATTTAGTTTATATTTACTAAGCAATATACTTCCACTAACCTTCAGGGGCCTATAGCTATGGGCCTAGTACATCTGTTTCTATTTCCAGTAACCTTTCCTTAAAGTTGAATTCAAAATACTAAACATTCCCTCATCATCAAAAATATTCATAACTTTGCTAAGGTTTATGCTGTTCAGATTGATGATTTACACATGCATTTTACCATTTTCTTGTAAAATCTGTCAGTCAACAAGCATGATTTTATGGTAATAATAAGTTACTCTATCCATCTTCCACATAGATACCAAACCAATATCCTAAAACACAGATCTGACATGCCTAGTTTAGAATTTCCCATTTTATCCTAGAGTCTATAAAAAGCTCATGAAGATTTTTGATTTGGAGCAGGGGGAGGCTATGATGTGGTCAGATCTGGGTTTCCGGACTCCAAATTTGCTATCTGTGTGGAAGATGGAAGGACTAATTTATGGCCACTAAATCACACTATAGACTAGAGAAAGGGGAGAAAGTGAGAATTATCAGTATGTACCTCTGAAATCTAGCTCCCAACTGTCATCTGAATCCAATGTTATAATATTTACCTCTGTGTAGTTTCCAAATTGACAAAAATTATCCTGCTACTGTTCTCTAGACATGACAGTTCCTCTATTGCCTCCATGCTTCAGCACAGATGGATCTGTGTTGAGTATGCATTTCTTCCTCTTTTGGCCTTTTTGTTCATTTTTTTTTTCATTCTAAATGCAGGGAGTGCAATCCCTGATCTGGACCCACAGCACTGTGCAAGCCACAGGAATATGGTAGCCCAGGAATCTAGGTCTTGTGTTGCATCCAGACCAGCATTGAATCCTTAAGGAGCATAAAAAAAAATCATTTGTATTGACCTTTGGGACTTCAGCTCAGCAGAAACCACTCTCTCAGGGTCAGGCCTATTACCTCACATCCCCCACCCCAGGGTTTTTAGGCACCAAGAGATTTGAGGTTGGCATTGTCTCTTTTCTCATGAGCACCGGTCATTTTCCCCTGGGTTTCTTTAGGAACCCAGTGATTAGCACACTCAGTTCCATTTAATCACTTAATGTCAGATTAGCCTTTACAAAGGCATATTTGCTTCAAAGATATAGCAATAAAAACCTTGAAAATATCTCCCAGGATGTTTCCCACAGTGCCTCAGGGATATAATCCTCCCCTTATCCCCATACCACCTTAGTCCATTAAAAAAAAAATAGTCCCCTGCATTCACTGATCTAGGTCATATTTCTTTTCACCTCACGGTAAGCAGCAGATACTATCTCATTAATGTGTTGCTGACAGTTAGATGTCAGGGGGTGCACAGGAACTCATCCTTTATCTATAGATAAGGAAGTTGAGAAACAAAGGTCAAGTGATTTCCTCACGGGAATCCAGTAAGTCATCAGAAAGACCCAAATTCAGTTTCTTTTCATAGATCAGGCCCCACAGACAGATCAAATGTTACTGATGAGGAGATCTTAACAGCTCACATGATTTATCTTCCATTTTACTGGCACTAAGAGACCCCCTCTTCAGTTTCTATGGTATGGTTAACAGTCACGTCCCTTCTACATCTCCACTCAGTGATTCCTTTGTTAGTCCCTAACCTGCTCAGCCCAGTGACTCCCTTGTAATCAACAAATTTCTCCACCATGATCACCCCACCCCTACACACACACACACACACACACACACACACACACACACACACACACACACACCCCACAATCATAAAGCTCAGAAGAAATCAAAATCAGCTCCTCAGAAAAGTGTAGGAGATGCTCATTAGCAAGAATAACACATGTGACAGAAATACAATGGTGTTATCATCAGGGGAAGTTTTCCCAGTTCTCTGGATGACAGCTTTCAGAAATCCAGATACATATTTAGTACTGAGAGCCCACAAACTATTTATGCCTCCAGAAGTTGGAATCTATTACTGCCCTCCTGGTCTAACCCATCTTTTGGTCCTGCTCAAAATAAGGGAAAAGTAAATAGGCAAATTCTAACCATTTACAAATACACAAATATGTCTACTTCCTGTACCCAGGTTTTTACATTCATGGAAAATTAGAGCAGGAAGTGGGCCTTAGAGATGATCAAGGCCCGCTCAATAAATGCCAGTTGTTCCGTGTTACTTCAAGAATTAAACACAAATGCCTTTGTTTAGAATATAAAGGCCTTCACAACCTGGCTCCAACCTACCTTTCCAGCCTTATTACTCCTTTTCACTCATTCTATGCTTCAGTCAAACTGGCCTTCTTGCAGTTGCTTACAAATGACTTCTTGTTGTTCTGTGATGTCTGACTCTCCATGACCCCATTTGGGGTTTTCTTGGCAAAGATACTGAAATGGTTGCCATTTCCTTCTCCAGCTTATTTTACAGATGAGGTAACTGAGGTCCATTAAGGTAAAATGACTTTCCTAATGTTACACAGTTAGTTGGTGACTGAGTGAGGTGTAGAATCAGGTCCTCTTCATGTACAATGTTTTGTTTCTTTCACTGCCACTAACTTCAGGACTTCTCTTTCTTACAGATGGTCATAGGGTCATAGATTTAGAGTTGGAAGGGATTTTAGATGTCCTCTAGGTCCAACATTCTTGTTTTATGGAGGTGGATACTAAGGCTTGTTTATGTGAAGTCACTTCCTGAAAGTCAGATGGCTAATAAGCAACATAGCCTGGATTGAACCTCGGTCCTCTAATTCCAAGGCTTGTGTTATTTCTGCTACATCATCCAGCTTTCCATATTCTCACAGATACTTCTCAGGAGATCTGTCTAGAGCACCAGGAAAACTATTCCATTATCAGGGTGTGCACAATCTATCACTTCTCAAACATATTTGATGACATTCCTAGCTGTAAGGATTGCCTACCTCCTACCACTGCCTCTATTTCCAGTGATAATTATGATAATTCACATGTATATTTAATTGCATAGAGCTTTATCCTTGTGATATTCCTTGTTTCTGCTATTTCCTGGATTCTCCATGCTCTTCCCCACCACCCCTGCATTGTCAATTTTTTCAGACCTCCTGGGCAAAAGAGGATCTTACCTCTCTTCACCACAGTTAATTGTGCTGGGCACAGGCGATGTATCCCAACTGCATGCATGTGAATATTCATTTAATAAGAAAGTTGGATTTCCTT